GCTACCACTTATAATATATTTAATGTAGGGGTAATAAACAATTTGTAATAAAGGAAAGAGCGACGTGGTCTCAGGACAGTTGTTTCAGTTAAAAAAAGGTGGCACAGAAATAAAAAAATAAAAAAATAATAATAATCACTTTTTCTTTAATTCCTTTCTTTTGGAAAATTTAGAATAAAAAAAAATAAAATAAAATCCCTTTTTTTTTTGGTATAATAAAATAATATCGTTCGAAAGGCTAACAATCTTGAACAAGGCCTCTTTGGTAAAGATCAAGAAAAGAAATGAATGTTATGCCGGCAATAACTACAAATGTATTGACATATATAGAAACAAAAGAAAATAAAATAAAAAATACTCTGTGCACAGAGGTTAGTCCTGGAGCGCGCTGAACGGATTCCGGGCTATAATGGTGCAACTCCTTGTCCGCTTCGAAGCGATGTCCCTCCGATGTCCTTCCGCAAAATAGACTGTCAAATCCAGATGATGTCCTCCTTCTCGGTAAAAGAGATCGCCAAAGAAAAAAGGCAAGAACAAGAGGACGATGATAAAGCCACCTTCACTCTTCGCCACGCGTTCCTCGTCTGGCCGGAGCCGCTGCGCATCCGGCGAATTCTCCCGCCACGCGCTCCACGTTTGGAGGTGGTTATAATCATATCATAATGGAATGTCCGGAATATGAAAAAGAAAGAAAATTGTTTTTGGATTTATTCCTTGAAGGACATTGGTAGACCATTTAATCTAGAATCCCTGATTTCCGAAGAAAGAGACGATGTGTATTGGTCACTATACGACTATATCACAGAGTGTGGAATAGAGGTCTGATTCGTTGGTAGACTTTGGTGCGGAGCCGGTGGTCGGGGGTCGGGGGCGGGTGCCTGCTCTTGTCGGCGGCCGGCGTGACGAACGGGAGGGATGCAGGGCGCGTTAACCCCTGTCCCTCGAGGACGTGGACTTTTCCATATTAGGTTTTTTTTATGAACATGGTTTTTATCCACGCCCTCCAGTGAGGAAAGAGGGAAAAAAAAGCAAAAAAAAGCATCCCCTCTCGTCGCGGCCGTTCGTGGTGCCGGGGTGGTGCGTTCGTCTTTGTTTCCCGGGTTCCGGTTTTGCGCTGCTGGTATCACCATTCCACCAATACTAGGGTCATGGGTAATGGGGACTTTTTTATGTACATGGTTTTTATCCACGCCCTCCAATGAGGAAACAGGGAAAAAAAATTTTTTGATCTATTTATAATCATTTATTATCAAACTCTCCCGCGATATGTCGTCACATCTTAAGAAGAATTTCTTGAGATTGGTAGCAACCATTAAAATTTTCTACTTTCTGATATACCTTCTTAATTTAAAGTCAACTATTATATCATTATTTTATAATTTTATTACCTTATTATATTGAAGTTTCATTGCTGTTTGCCCGAATTATTTCATCTATGTGAACTTCAATATGATATTCATTGTTCAAAATTTTCATACTGCGACAACTGTACTTGTCGATTTTTATTAAATTTCTAGTTCATTGGAACGTTTCAGATAGGATTAGTGAAGGTTCAACGGTGTTGGCTTATTTAAAATAATACTCACTTATTGTCAAAGTATTTAAATTGTAATTATAATTTGTGGTGTATGTTTTACATTAAACTTTAAGTAATATGCCAATAATTATGGACGCAGAACGACTAATTTTTTACTTACTTTTTTTAAACTTCACTGGCAGTTTCATTGCGGAAATGATTCTTATTTATTCTTAATAAAAATAAATGGGAGCATCTTTTTATTAGTTGTATCATTATCTTCATTGTCGTCAGTATATGTCGTACAAATTCTTTGTATGCCAGTGATTGGATTCATTACGGTTATGCACAAAGAAGCTACGGACCGTAATGGATAAATCACTGGCGTCACAAAAGAATTTGTACATCTTTGACTGTAACCAAGATAATAATAATAAATATTATTCTTTTGTCACTTCAGGACGATGGGTACATTGTATTCTCCGGAAACCTCAAAGTATCACATAAAAATAATAAATAATGAGTATATTTGAGAACAAAATATTCATTTACAAAATAATACTTACAAAGACATGAACAAGTCTTCTGCCAGTTGGCACTATCATATTTGTGGCATAAATGTAATTGATATATAATTAATACAATTAAAATAAGATTGTCTCTGTATTTTAGAGCATCTGCAATATTCTTCTGCCACTTCTCCAGTCTAAAACCGTCAAGAATTCCGGGATGTCAAGCAGAATTTATGAAACCAAATCAATCTAATAAAATTAGGAAATTGCTAAAAAAATGAAATAAATCTCTTAAACTATGTGAGTCACATAAAGGAGGACAAAATGATTTCTCATATCCAGTTAATTATTAACAGATAATTATTTCTCCAAGTAACGAAATGCTCTGAGGTAAACAAGCATTTTTGATTGAAAGAGGATTATCAAGTGTTGATAATCGTACAAAAAAATAATCCGTGAAACATAAACAGATTATAAAGATAGGTAATTGAAAGAAAACATGAAAAGCTTGATTATTTTCCGGCCAACCCAATATCTTGGTTATGTTCTGGCTATGCTTTGTATATAAAGTAATATTTGAGGCCCTAAAAGATGAATATAGAGATGTGAGACCCGTCTTTAAACTGTAGATGGCGTGGGGTGTGACATGTACACGGAGGGAAAATGTAAACAATTATCGCTCCCTCCTGCCGCGAGCGTGTAAACGCCATATCCCTTGCGCTGAGTATGATCAAAAATAAAAACGACAACTCGTTTTTGTTATGTATCGATTCGCCCAGTGCGGTCCAGAAGCTCAGTAGAAGAGCCTACGTGAACCCGTTAATAAACAAGATAAAAGAGCAGATGAAAGGGATCGATGCAGTTGGGAAGAAGGTCGTGTTGGCATGGGTTCGCGGCCACGTAGGTATAGCCGGGAACGAAGAAGCAGACAGAGCGGCCAAAGTAGCCGCTGGAAGGTCCCACGACGCTTCCCGACCTTTACGCCCAGCGGACCTAAAACTATTAATTTCAAATTATGTAAAAAGAAAATGAGAAAACCGCTGGGCTCATAGAAATAGAAATAACCTTACTAACCTGTGGCAAGCTAAGAAAGAAGGTCCCTGGTCCACGGAGAACGGTTCGGGAAGGAAAAAGGCCATACTGACAAGACTATGCATAGGTCATACAGAATAACACAAGGGCACCTTCTGGCCGGAAAGCGACCGCCTAGGTGCTCTTTATGCAAGGATAGAATAACGGTCGAGCACCTTTTCAATTGTAGAAGGCGTGATGCATATAGACAATGTTTTGACCTAACATCGGACCTTACATAGTTTTGGGGCACGGCAGCGGGCACAGATCGCTGTTCCGGTACCTCAGGGCTATAGGGATTTTTAAATGAATATAGTTTTTTTTTATGTGTGTTTGTGTTTTGTCTGTGTGAACTATACGTACCACGGGGTGACTGAAAATGTTTCAAAAACCAGCCCGAGTCACATTGGGATGGACTCGTGGTGGCTTGTGGTGACGCCCCTGGCGGGGACTTAGACAGAGGCTTTCTTCTATCTGGGACCTTTCGTGAAGCTTGCGTATGGCCAATGTCCCGTTCCTCACGAGAGACGTTGCGACCGGACGACAGCATGTAAGCGTTGAGGACGTCATGATCATGCTACAGTCCGTCGAATGCGTAAGTAAGCGATTGGAAAAGGGTAGTGATATCGGCGGTCTTTGACTCGAGTATGCTTTGCATTGTTGTGCGTATGACCGGCGTGGTACCCTTGGGGAAGAGAAGGATCGGACCACCTAGGCTAGACCTATGACTTCCCACGAATGCGTGCAGCAGGTGTAGGCTGAGTTCGATAAGAGACTTTTTACCGTAGACAGTGCTCATCTAGGGGGTGGGTAGCAATCCCACTCTAAACTAAAACCGCTGTCGGGGCGTTCCCGAAGGTTTCTACGCTGGAGGAGCCTTTACACTAAGAGAGATAGAGTCGCCTTCTTTATCTAGGGAGTATGCGAGGGGGGGGACGGGCTGATGTATTTCGGCCCGTTAGCCCCTCGCGTGCGGCGTACGACCCGACGCATAATGCGGGCCCGACCATTCGGAGTGGACAAGCGGAGAGCGTGGATACCGACCCTTAGGGGCCGGGACACCACTACACCAAAGCTGCGGCGGTAACACTATTCCGTCGTATGTGGAGGTGCGTCAGCTCTCATCTTAAGAATCAAAACGTCCGATAAGGCCATGAGCCAGGTGCGGACGTGAAAGATCCTCTTGTCTTGTTGACGATGAGTAACCGGGAACGCATGTGTTAACTATATGTTCATTTATTGGAATGCATGTAATTTATTAGCGTGAAAGGAAGGGGTTGCTTATACCCTCGCCCCGAGGAATATCGAGTACTCTGGGGTGAGTGATGACGTCTGGAGTGTAAAAGTAAGTTATTAGTGTGAAAGGAAAGGTGCTTATAACCCCACCCCGAGGAATATCAAGTATTTCGGAGATTGAATGTGACCAGACATCTATGTTTGTGGTGATGTATATATATGTATTGTATGTTTTGTTTCTATTCTGTATTCAACAACTTGAGGTAACAAACGAGAGGCTCGCATTCTAGGATATCAACTTAGTTTATATTTAAAATCAGTCAGTAACCAGATCGAGACGCTCAAATGGCTGCAGTTTAAAACAAAACATGCGCGAAAGAAGAGAAAAAGGAGGAAAACACGAAGAGGGCCAGCGTTGACCTCAGCTGTTTGTCGGCCCATAAAATTCATATATGTAACCTTTCCTTTCTTTAAATCTGTTTGTAGATTAACAATTCAGACAATATTAGTATAACTTCGTTGAAAAGTTTAAGAAATATATAAATTAATCTAGACAGTATTTATACACCGGGGATTTTCTTTTAGACGTTGGTTATTTAAAAATATCAAAAATATTATTTATATCAAGACAAACCTAAAAAATAAAAATAAATAGTATTACTTACAGATGCCTGCTTAAGAATACAACACCAACCGTCTATTCTGAAACAAAACAAAAAGTTAATGAGTTAATTATAAAAAGGCAAAATGCATGGCACCTGCTTTTATATAGAACATCTGACATCCTGTATTAGAAGAAAAGGCTGTAGAGTTTACATATGCTGGCTTATGCGACAGATCAGATTAATCTGTCAAATCCGAGTAAGAGTTTAGAACGTTTTATACAAGAGTGATTGAACGATTGAATTTTTGAATAGATTTAACACATTTTTAAAGATAGAGGAAAAGTAGTAATAATGCAATGGTAATAGTTGTATTTTTTGTTTCTACTAATAAACAATTTTACTGTCAAGAAAAATGCTTTTTTAGGTCAAAATTTTAGCTGTAGAAACTGGTTGATTGCACTGTCAATAGTTTTAACAAATCGGTAACAGATCGTTATCTTGCCAGCACTTATTGTCTTCTTTGCCACCCAGCTAGCGAAACTTCCACATACCCACGTTCTTTGAATGTAAATCGATGCTTCTTTCTTTGCAATGCAAATTTCAATTGTAGTTAGAATGGTTCAAAAAATGGTAATAAATTAGATAGTAAAAAATTAGTAGGTAATTATTTAATAAATTATATTTGACAATTCGATTCTCAGTCATTACAGAAACTGAATTTTTACTACGTAAACCACGTTACCAACAAAATATGTCTTAAAAATTTAATTTTTTAAAATATTTCCTATGGTTTGGTATTGAACTATTAAAAGATATAATTGATTAAAGATTTTTCGGTTAAACCGTATTGGTAGTCATACAAGTTTATCCCACTCATATAACAATTTAACAAATGGATTCAAACCAATCATACATAATTTTATCTCCGATATAATTAGTATCAGGATTCAATAAAATATAATACTGCTTTATAATTATACATTATAAATATCAGAGCTAAGAAAATTAAGGTGCGATGTGCCTGAATGGATAGGGCGTTAGACATTCGACTTAAAGACCTGCCTGCGGTTGTGGGTTTGTTTCCACCCTGAAAGTTCTGACACCCCCTCACCACCTAAAATATTTGCTAATATGAAAAAAATACGACAAAAAACTTACCATGAGAGTTTAAAAAACCTTAACTTTCCTCGTAGAAAACCCTGAACATTTGATTACATGTGTAATCACGGTTTCAGGAAAATTTTAAAAACATTGGAACAGCCAATTATCTCGATTTAAACTTTGAGTGGTAGCTGTTGAAGTGCCGAGAGAGATGTTTTTCATTTCTTGCAGACAAAAACCGACCTTTGCTTTGAAAAATTCATAACATGGATGAAAAATGGATTGTTTATGACAATCGGCGTCGGCCTGTTTGGTGATTAAATGCCAACACATACACCAAAACCAAAGTTACATTTTAAAAAATCGATAGTGACATGAAACCTAGATCAATGGCTGGGTCATTCACTATTCGTTTTTTCTTAGAGGTGATACCCTCATCCAAATTTACCAAATGAATATAAAAATTGCAATACTGCGGAAAACCGGAAGGGTCCGATAGTGCACTTAAACTACAAAACAACGCTTTTCGAGCGATACTAAAAATAAAAATAATTTAACGAAGCTGAGTTAACAAGGTTATTCTCAGCCACCTTACTTTCCTTACTTATCTTCAAAAAAAAATTCTTTTTAGAAATTTGGACAACTTCATTAAAAGTTGTTAAAATTTTTGAAAAGACAGCATTGCTTGCCATCATTTTTACTCAAAGCACTGATTTTTTTTTTAGCTCTGTTATTAAAAACGTCGTTAAAATTTTGGTGAAGTGTGTAAAAAAAGAATGTATAAACTTTCACAAAATTATTCACCACGCATCCTTTAAGCGGGGAACACACTTACCCTATGCAACGCTACCCGACGCAAATCCAAAGTCCAATTTTCCATAAGATTGTATTACCCCCGTGCACATCTGCCCGATGCTAAGGAACGCTACCCTACTCTACGCTACTCGATCCCCACTGTCCAGATTTTCGTCGGGTAGCATCGAGTACAGTCGAAGACAAAAGAACGCATCCTTTACTGCGCAAAAGGACTTTCCATGTGAAATGAACCAATACCATGCTTTCAATGGTTTAAAGAATTGTAAGAAATTATTCATTTGACAATTTAATGTCCAAGGAATACGGAGAAGAGCAATTTGACTTGTCTTAATTTGCCAGGACACATTACATCACCGAACATTCTAAATGGAACACTGCCATGTTGAGTTTGAGCTTTTATTTGTGTTTATGTAATGTGCAAGCTGAAAAACAGCTAAGGTCATCGCCGGCCCACTGACTGTTTTCCTTCCTTTTCTAGACTTTCACGCGTATTTCGTTTGAAATGCAGGCAGCATTTGAACGTCTCAATATGGTTACTGACTCTATGCTTTGAAATGTATACTACGTCGATATCCTAAAATGCTGGCCTCTCATTTGGTCGTCAGATTGTCAACTACAGAACAGACACAAAACATACAACAAGTAAAACTGTATATATGCATGCCTACTCGATACAAACATAGAGGTCTGGTCACACACAGACTCCCAGAGTATTCGATATTCCTCGGGGCGTGTTTGTACCAACTTTTACTTGTAATATTTATAAAGCTAAAAAATATTCCTATCTATTTATTTTTACATTTTTCTCATGTTCAGGTGAACTACTTGTATTATTTCCATATTATGCAAATATTTCTATTTAACAATTCCTGTAAAAGAGAATAGAACAAATCAGTACTGACGTGACAAGTAGGCGTAGGATTTTTCCCCTTGAAATTTCCAGTCAAAACATAAACAATAAAAGTAACGTTCACAGAGTATAACTAAATATTTATGTGATACATCTACCTGCCCGCCGGGAGTTTTCCGATGATGTTGTTTGGTTAAACCTGTACGTTTGTTTTTACCACTTTTTCTGTCTTGTACATCCAGCCAGATTATTTGGCCGCTCGGAGCGAAATATAACTGTGCACATATTGTCTTTTTCGGAACGCAGATTCCTACTTGCACAGGTGAACTTTTTCAACTGGGCTTAACAATATAAGTCAACTTTTTATACGTCAAATTTTTTTGTCACGAGTGGCTCTCGACGGCCGATTTTTATCATTATAACAGGTAGTTGTAATGTACGGAAAATTAAATTTTCCGTTAATATTTCTCTCGCAACAAAACCAAAATGGATGATTGATAAACTAACGTTATAACTATTTCAATTAATTAATCTTTATGTAAGGTATGGGTTGAGATAAAAAAGTCAGTGTCACGAGCGTGCATACCGCTACAAACGATAAAACTCGAAGTAATCGAAGAAAAATTCCTTCTGTTCACGCTAATAAATTACATTCATACCAATAACTTCGTTCATACCGTTCGAGATTCCTCCAATTCCATTGAATCTTTCATTCAAAGACAAGAAAGTCATTTTTCATTCTAATTTTACAAACATCAGACCTATTCACACAGCTCTAGATTACTCAATATTCCTCCGGGTAGGTAGGGAAAAAATCTAAGTTCTACTCACGCAAATAAATTACAATCATTTACCAAACTTTGTTGAAACATTTCTAGTCTATTCGTTATTCCTAGGAGTATTAGAGGACAAAGTCCCTTCATTAACGCTAATAAATTAAATTCATACACTATATTTAATTCAACTGCCCCAGATTCCCCGATCTTGCATGGAGTAATTGGGAAGAAAATCATCCACTCAAGCTAATGAATTACTAAATCCATTCGGTTTTGTGGTCCGATTGACCAAATAACTTCTTTCAATTAATTACTCTTTATAGTATATGATGGGGTTTGGTCTGCGAGTTGGCGAACTCATGTGTTGGACACCAGGAAAAAACAAAAACCCAACAACGCCCAAATAATAAATGACAACGGAAATAACCTCTACCGAGACCTACCAACGAGCACGAAAACCACGCCCCCTAACGCAACGCCCCAAGCGACAAGCGACGGACGCAATATTATATAAACCTTACTTAGAAAAAATGACAGACAGTTTTTCACTGATGAACTGAAACGCGTTTGAATAACTCAAATAAAAAACCCGAGAGTGAAGACAGACCCAGTAGTGCCCGTGTGCCGGTTCAACATGAATTACTCTTTATGCAAACTATTGGCGGAGATAAAAATCACGAACGGGATTCGAACCCACGACCCTCCGCTAAATACGCACTTGACTTCGATCTATTAGGACACCAACTTCCCAACTCAATCCAACCTTTCGAATTTTTCCTCCTTTTTACCATTTTTCAAATGTCTGGTAAACCATCTGATCCGCAGCGACAAAGGAACTATTATTTAAGTTATAAGTTTAACCTAAACTATTATTGGGAGATCGTGAGATGCGGTCTGGTGGTCTCACGATCTCCATATAATCATTAACTGATGGTCTCTAAACACTATACATAGCGTTATAACAATATTTTCAACAACAAGCATTATCCTTTCGGTTAGGATAAGCTAATCCCCAACCTCAGGCTACGCAGTGCGATCTGAGACAGAAAAGGACGAGAAAGGAACTCTTTTCAAGTTGTTAAAGGCGACTCTTTTTTTCATCAAATTCATTTTAAGTAGGTTATTGTTTTAATTTATTTGGGTCAGGTCCAGATTTTCGCTTTTTGCAATTAATTTGTTGAGTTAGTGGCACGGAAATTTTTTTCACTCGTGAGTGAGACGAGTTGTTTCGTGTGAAGGGGATCCTCGCAAAGATATACATGGATTTTGGGTTTAAATTGTTCAATGTAGGATTGCACATCGTCGATATTTATATAAAAAGTTTTCTCAAATCTTGCCATATTAGGGTAAAGTTACGGTATTGCAATGAAGTCAATGAAATTTAATATATACCTGTTATCAAATGTTTTCTATGTAATCATATTTTTTTGTTATAAGAAAATATCACATTTTTCTTTAAATTATCATCTGAAATTTAAAAAGTGTTCATATAGGATGAAACGAGGATTTATCTTGAGTTATATTGCCTGGTGTTATCGGCTCGGAGCAATTTTG